CTGCCCACACACAAGCAAAGCTCTCTTTGTGCTTTAAGGGAGGGTTTTTGCCATGTCAAAGTCTATTCCCCGAGAGCTTTGTGCCATTTGTTTTACAGTCATCCCCAGAAAGCCCAGTCAAGGTTCAGGGCCTCCACCATGCCAGGTGCTGTGCAAGCAGAGGCAGGCTGAAATCCCAGACCTTGCTGAAACCCAGGGAAAAAAAAAAGTCTCTCCAAGTTCAAGGTTTTTATTCCAGGTCCTGCCTAGGGCAAGCCGATAACAAAATCATCCTGTCACCTGGCGCTCAGATGTCTGTGATCCTGCACGGACTCGCTGCTGTGCTTGCGCCGTGCTTGCTAGTAAGAGCTTGCAAAATCAAGAGTTTATTCTGAGCCTTTATTAAAAAGAGAAGGGAAAAAAAAAAAAAAAGGGGGGGGGGGGAGAAAAAAAGAAGGGAAAGCAGCGCGCCCAAGTTCCTCATGCGGGAATACTAATGCACGTACTATTTCTAGAACGTGCAAGTCCTCAGCTCATTCACGGGAGTCAGCCTGGTGTGATAAGAGTTCCACCCACGTTGCCTCCGCCTGATTGAGACTATCAAGACGGTGTCGGGAAGCACCCCGCGCGATCTGCCGTTACATAACGCAGCCCAGCTCCCGAGAACTGGCACAGTTCTGGAATTTGTGTTTGGTCCTAATGTTCCGTACCGAGCTGGCAAGTGAGATTCCTGCTCTGAGTGAATGACAGTTGGAGCTTCGAAGCAGGAACATTTGCCCACCGAAGTTGCTGAACTCACCCACTGCCAAGTCTGTCACTGAAGCAGCAGATAGGCAGGGACAGCAGTACGTGGCATGGACTGTGTCATGCTCCTCTGCGCCTTCAGGTCCCAGTCCTGTGAGGGAGGACCGTGCGGCTGCCTGTGAGGTGGAGGAAGGCCACACTTCTCAATTTTAGGCAGTTTTATGTCCCTTTTTGCGGCAACCTTTTAAATATCTCACATGCCTGAGCGGAAGGAGGATCACGCTGTTTCTCAGGCAGAGAGCTGAGGCGTGAGGAAAGGGACAGATAGATTTTGACAGATTTAAATCTTAGGCTAGTTTTCAGAACATCGGTGTTCTCACCTGGGCACTCTGTCCTGCTGCTGCAGGTCACTGCCACTGCCCTGGGACAGGGATGGGTGCCCACCTCTGCTCTCAGCTGCTCCAGGGCATGAGCTGGTGTCTTGGGGCTCTGGTTGACATGGGACAGATTGAGGCAGGACAAGCACTCAGTTCAGGAGGGAGATCTTTCCCTGGGGTTGGTTTCCCCCTGTAGGCAGCCTGGAAACCACCACAGCCCTGATTTCAGTGTGTACCTCAGAGTTTGCCCTCACGCTGCGGAGGTGTGGGGCCATGTTTCCTCCAGCTGACTTTGCTCTGGGGCTGGGAGTCCATAGCCAAAGAGCAGCTGATAACATGGCCAGGGGTGACAGCAGCTCCAGCTGCTGCAGTAGGACTGCAGGGCATCCTCTGTGGCTTGGGCAAAGAATGGTTGGGGAGGTGCAGGAGGTGACACCAGCTTGCGTCAATCCTCAGAACACGATCACTGGGTCATCTTCTGTGGTGGCCTGGGTTTGTTTTCACCTGCTTTTCCAATCTGCCAGCGTTTCTGGGTGCTGGCAGTCAGCATTTGGGCATTTCTCACCGTGTTTACCTGCCGTGTGCGCTGGGTTCCTCAGTGTAACCCCGCAGCCTCAGTGTGTAAGAGGTGCAGTCAGGGCTAGAGATGCTCGGGGTGTTGCAGAGGGGACGATGCAGGGGATGAGAGTTCTGGGGTGCAGTGGGGCAGTGGTGGGGTGCGCCGCCCTTGCTCCACAGCTCTCCAGGGTTGCTCCCACCCCCAGCTGGCCCTGCCTTTGCTGCCGGGGCCAGCTCGGAGTCAGCTCACCCCCCTGCTCCCGGATGCATCGGAGACGGTCCCCGCGGGGCTGGCCCTGCCATCACCAGCCTCTCCGGCAGCGCTGGGGGGCATCCGAGCCCCCCTTGTCCGAGCTCAGGGCGCTGGCGGGGGTCCCGTGTCTCTGGGGGAAAGGGGAGTCAGCCCGGTCCTGCGGCCGGAGGCGGCCCTGAACCCTCCCCATGGCAAAGGCAGCGCCCGGCGCTGGGGCTGAGCTGTAGCAAACTCCCTCGCAAGAGCTGTTTGTTGACCACATTCACGTTCAGAGCCCTGAAGCTAAAAGCACTTTACACCATAAAATAAAAGCACTGTCTTTTTTTCTAAAAGGTTACGTCTGGAGGCCACGCTGCTCATACTTCATACAGAAAACTACTGAAAGGGCTATGAAATCCTCTATGATTTACACTCCCTCTCAGTGCATTAGGATATAGATCTACTCGACTCTAAAAATACTGTGGAGTTTCTAACCGACGTGAATATATGTGCATTATTTCAGAAAGTCTGTTAGAAAACTTGTCAACACATTATAAAGCATAAACCAGGACTTGGCCATTAAATACAGAGATCAGAGACAGAATGTATACGGCAGGAAGTACCGAGAGAAGTCCCTCCATTCAAAAAAAAAGTCTATTAGCTAAAAGTTTACACACAATATACACCAAAAGGTTTAGAGAGAGCCCGTGGACCGCAATTACAAGGCATAAATGGAATCAGTAAGGGCTTTACAGTCCCCAGCACAGTTAACTGGGCTGCCAGAAAATAATTTTAATATTGTCATAATTTATTACCCACCGAAAGCCACATCAAGGATTGTAAATATAGTCACTTTGTGTCCACGACTGCTCGTTAAACAGCCTCGTTCCCTTCCCCTAAAAATACAATGAAATAAAAACCCACCTGCATTATTAATCTGCGGTCATGCAGTGTTAAAAATGTCTTCTCACTCCTTTTCTTTCTTGAGGTTTGTTATCTCCCTCCAATCACATGACAATGCGAAGCGCTGGGGGGGGGGGGGGGAGATAGGAACGAGGGGGAGCCCAGCACTATTGCGATCAAATGCTAATATTAATAATTATCCAGCCAGGATGAAATATTATTTTTAAGGCAGCGAGTTTCCATTTAATTCGAGGCATTTTTACGGTGCTGGAATTAAGGGCATGCTGATGGTAGGAACATCCTCGCTGCCATTCATGAAAGCATCTGTAAAATTAGCTCCTGACTGTAGGTTTTGAGATGCGGTCTGGGAAGTCACCTCCGGAATCTCAAACACGGCACGATAATGAAACAGATTTAGTTGTCACCAAGTGCTTAATTTGCTATGATTTTTTAAAAGAAAATCAATGAAACGATGCCTGTGACTGGGAATAAGCACAGGTAGGTGTTCTGATGCAGGTTGGCTTTAGAGAGCGTAATGAATTGTAATTCAGAGGAGTGTTAACTGCGAACCGCAGAACCTTTCAGGGGTAATAAAGTCATTACTTCTTACATTGCAGCCGCCTTCAAAAGCTTTATACGTGCCATTAGATATAAATCAACCCCCACATATATCTACATCTCCGCTACAGGCACACACGCCCGTTTCTGTGGGTTTCGCGCAGGGACATGTGCACAGCCAGCCCTGCGAGCGGCGTGAGCCCCGGAGCCGCCGCTGTTGTCACCTGCGGCTGGGTCTCCCCGCCACGTCCCGCATCTGCTCCCGCACCGCGCCCCGGCACCGCGGGGCGCATCCCAGCGCCGCTCGATAAAGGAGGGGAGCGGGGGGCTGAGCGGCGGCGGGCGGAGCCGGGGGGGGGTGTTTGGGGGGCCGGCTGGCGGGAAGCTGAAACCATCGCACGGCGGAGCGGCCCTGACAGCTCCGCCGGTGCGCCTCGGGCTCGCCTCGCCAACAGGTCCCCGCCGAGCCCCGGCCCCCGCCCGCCTCTCGCTCCCCGGGGCGGCCGCGGCTCTGCCCGGCGAAGTGTCTCTTACGGCGGCGGGCAGCTCCTCGCTCCCCGGGGGCTCCCGCCCGGCGCTCCGCTCCGGCTCTCCGCCGCCGTCCCGGGCACGCTTGATCCCCTCGCACTCCCTTCGCCGCCGCACTTTGCTCCGCACGCCCGATCGCCTCCGCAGCGTAATTCTACCGCAACCTGATCCCTCGCGGTGCCGGCAGCGCTCGCCTCGCTCCGGGTCCTTTCGGCGAAGTTGCAGCCAACGCCGCCGCCGCCGCATCCTCCCAACTCCAGCCACTTCTCGGTGCCTCCCGCCGCCTCGGCTCCCCCCCTCTCCCGCCCTCCCCCGGTGCCAGCCCGCTGCCCGCGCCGCCCCGCCGCCGGCAGACCCGCGTTTCGCTTTCGCTCGGAGCCTGTGGCTGCGGGCAGGGCTCGGAGCGCCGCCGGGGCAGGGAGGGGGGCTCCGGGCTGGCGGGCGAGAGCAGCCCGCGGGGAAAGCCGCGAGGTCCCGCCGCCCTCCGCTCCCCCCCGCCCCGCTCCTGCGGCTTCTCCTGCCGCGCCTGCCGCTTTCTCGCCCGCCAAACTCCGCTCGCCGCTCCCCCGCCCGCCCCGGGGCAAGGCCCGCCGCTCCCCGCCGAAGTTTCCCGCGGCCCGGGCCGAGCCCCCGCCATCCCCAGCTCCCCGCGGAGCCGCCGCCGCCGTCCCCCGGGGACGGGCCGCAGCTCCCGGGAGGAGGGGACTCCGCGGCTTCGAGGGGGATGCGGGGGGGGGGGCCGAGCGGGGAAGCCGGGAGCCGGATGCCCCCCCCTGCTTTTTGGGTGGTCTCCGGTCCTACCTGGCTTCCCCCAGCTCCCCCAGCTCCTCGGCACAGCCCGCGGCGAGCGTGCCCCGCAGCCCTCTCTGCCCGGCTCTGGCTTCACCGATGTGTTTGCTTTTCCAGCGGGGGTGTGCGTGCGAGAGCTGCCGCTGCCTGCCTGCCTGCTCGCTTTCTCCCGCTCCTTTTCCTCCCTTCTCTCTCCCCGTGTGCGTGTTTAATTTCCCCCCCTCGCCCCTCTCCCGGCTCCCCTCCTGCACCCGCTCCTCCGCGGCCACTCGCGGCTCCGGCCGCCGCCCCCTCCGCCCCCGGCCCCCCGGCTCCATTCGGCAGCGTGCGCCGGGCGGCCGGTGCACCCCCCCCCCGCCGCGCCCCCTCCCCTCTCCCCCCTGCGATCACTGTCCATTGGCTTGTCCTGCTCTCTTTTTCATGTCCAGCCCCTGATGAGTGTCCATTGGTGTTGCCTTCGCCTTCCCTCCTCCCCTCTCCCCGGCTTGCCCTGCCCATGTTTTGTATGTCTCTGTCCATCCAGGCTCCTGACGTTCAAGTTCGCAGGGACGTCACGTCCGCACTTGAACTTGCAGCTCAGGGGGGCTTTTGCCATTTTTTTCATCTCTCTCTCTCCTTCTCTCTCTCCCTCTCTCTCTCTCCCTCTCCCTCTCTCTCTTTTTTTTTTCCTTGCACAAAAAAAAAAAAAAAAAAGCCATGACTGCTATCCCACAATTCATCTTCCCTGCGCCATCTTTGTATTATTTCTAATTTATTTTGGATGTCAAAAGACATTGATGAAGATATTTTCTCTGGAGTCTCCTTCCTCTCTAACCCGTCTCTCCCGATGTGAACCGAGCGACTCACAAGCCACCGAAGCCACCAACCCACCATGTCGCGCCGCAAGCAAGGCAAACCCCAGCACTTAAGCAAACGGGAATTTTCACGTAAGTAACCCGGAGAGCAATTTATTTAATTTCCCCTTCACGGATTTAATTTTTAATTTGAGCGAGAGCAGGGAAAAAAAAAAAAAAATTAAAAGTGAGAGCGAGTGAGCGAGTCGGGGGAAAAAAAAAAAAATTAACTCAGCGCCGGCTCGGGATTCGCAGCATTCCGGGTAATTTCTCCCTCTCTAATTTAATCACCTTGATGACTTTTCTTTTCTTTCTACCCGTGCCCCTCGCCCGCCGGCGCGCACTCCGCTGCCCCGCTCCGCGCTCGCCTCCCGCTCCCCGCGCTCTTTGGCGGCAAGAGCGGCAGCTCTCGCCCCGGCACCGGGAGAGGCGCGGGCGAGGTGCGGGGCTGCCGGGGGCAGAACCGGCCGAAAGTGGGAA